CAGCTTGATCAAATTCTTTTGGAGCCATAATAATGTCTCTCTTGCGGTAACTTGAATGGCTTGTTGTTGCTGAATGAGAAGAGGTTCTGCCTCTTCCACTTCCCAATTCTCTATTTCTCTGATTGTATTTTGTTGATCTAAATCCAAAGATAGTTCTTGAATTCCCCTGCTCTCCTCTTCTCTCTCCTACTGATCTTCTGCTGCCCTAATTAAGTCTAGAGAAGGTCCCCCAAGAACTGCCTCTGTTAAGGCCTTGTTTATCTCTGCACTTTTTCCATTAAAATCTGCACTTTGGGATTTTGCATGCGCCAACTAAAGGATCTCTGAATACATCTTGTGAGTTGGAATCTTTTAAGTCATTAAAAACGACTTGGGCTGCAAAGTCTGGCCAAAGGAGTTATTAAAGTCAGCCACGTTATTGGGCTTAGCTTGCTGGCCCATTTTATGACCTTCATTAAACCCAACACCTGCCTCTCACGTGGACCCTTTTTAAAAATATTTCCACCTGTCACAGAAGTACTAACCACGTGCTTTCGTGTTGTAAAATCCCTATAGAGAGGGGATTTTTGTACTTCATTACAGTTGGTAGCCCTATTTGCCCGCTGGGTAAAGGTAGTACCTGGTTCTTGCACAGAATCTTCTTCTCCGATGCCTCCCTCTGCTAATTCGGGCGAGATTTCATATCTTGACTTGCTTTCCGGCCAGATTGGAATGTGATAGGGTGATTCCGTTACAAGAGATAGATACCTCTCTTGGTAGATTCCTCCCATTGTTCCTTACCAAAATTCTGGCCCACTCCAGGTGATTTTTGAGCTCTGTTTCTTCTTCAGTGGCCACCCATCCTCCACAGGATTCACCTATTTTTTAGAAAATTCTCTGCGACTACAGATGAAAGGGAATCCCTACTGCTTCGATCCGCGTTTCTTTGATTTCAATAGAATGTGGGGTACATCCTCCCATGGGATTCCACCATTCTAATCGCAATCTAAGCTTTTTCCAGAACCACTGCCCTTGTAAGGTCCTTTCAGCCATGTATCTATTAGGGAATTCAGTAAGAACAAATCCCCATGCATCTCATATATGTTCACCCCAATAACATTCTTCCAAGCTGAGGTTGACCACCTTCTAATGTCAGCAAGTGTTGGTTTTTCCTTCGCCTCTTCTCCAAAGCTTCCCACTGGGCATCTCTTCAAAGGCCCGTTGTCTTGTACCTTGACAGATTCAAGAATGTCAATATTTCCATTGTTGCAAGTCACCTCTGCTTCCCAAAGACTCCTATTCTGCCATTTGCTATCTTGTACAGCCTTCTTATAGGGATAATTTATCTCAGTTAATCTTGGGGGAGCTACCACTGTCACTTCTTTGAGTCTTTAATGAAGTTGTTGATCTTAAATGTCATCTCATTCCAGCTTGCATTAAAGACTGGTTTAGGGATAATAAGTATTGATCTTCCTGCACCATTTAATGACAGAGAATACTCATGTATCTCCCATACACATTAAATTTCCTGGTGCAAAAGTACTCTGTGGCCTGCTCTGATATTTTCCATCTCCTGGCCACTTTATCTGGTCCTTTGAGGCCTCTTTAAGAACAAAACAAATCCATTCCATGATCTTTCTGCTCATGGTCGATCTGCTCATCATCTTTCGACTTCTCTCAACCCATTCGTACCACTCTGTGTTGCTAGCAGACCACCTGGTAATATCAAAAGATTTGAACCCAGCATTGAAGTAAATCCTGTTCTCCCCCATACCGCAAGCTTGGGAAAAAGTCAAGAATGTAGAAAGCAACCACAGAATGTGATTCCTTGAACAAAGAAAAACAGAGAGGAAGGGAGGGAAATAGATTGTATCAGGAAAAATCGAGAAGGAGGGAAGGGAAGAGTAGAGAAAGAGAGATATCTCCTGTGGAAGAAGGCCGGAGAAGGAGAGATTCTCCCTCCTAGAAGGGAGGAGAGAGAAAGGTCTCGAAAAGAGTGCCTGAGAGCATTTTTTTTGTTAGTCTCTAGAACTAAAGGCTCTTAGAGGATAAACTTGTATAGATGAAAAGGTGAATATTAAGTTAAAGCCAAGGAATTATATTCTCAACTCAAGCTCTCTACTACACCTGTCTCAGGAATCCAAATATAGGAAAGAGACGCAAAAAAATGCTCCTATCCTATACTTCCAGCTTACTCGGTTAGCAGAAGAAAACTAAGAAGCCTTTCCCTGCATCATGATGCAGCAGAAGCATTCTCTAGACACCTTCTTGCTTTGGGAACTACAGAATTTAGATATGTTTCAAACAAAGGCCAGATAATGCAAATTTTTTTTATCGGATGTTCTAAAGGAGAGGAAATGATCTCCTATGACAAAATAACGACTACAAAGATTATTGGTGTTTTATTTACACATCTTTTTTAATGTCAACCTATAGTAATCTCTTAGGAGAATAATCATATAACTAGAATAACATTTATAATGGACTACATAAGCAAATTATCCCGATGGACTAACAATGCAAATAATACAAGTTATATGTTGTGTAAACACCACTAAGGGTCGTGGTGGATAGATGACAGGATCCCTCATCCCTCCACCCTTAAATTAGAGTCTCGAGTTCAAGGTTTTTTGGAATGGAAAAGATCTTGTTAGTCAGGGTACCGATGCGAGTACATACACCGAATAAGAAACCATCTGGTATAAACATACTAGATAGCACCCTTTGCTATAAAATAGGTCGTGCAGCGAAGAAACCACCCCTAAATCAATCAATTTGGAACTTGATGAAGAAAACCCCTTAAATCGCCTTAAATCGTGGTATGCTGATTGAGAGAGAAAGCAGAGCACGGGAAGGAGAGGCAACTCGAGTAATGGTAGGAGTGAACGAGTCAACAATCAAGGGTTATCCACTTGTTTCCATTAGCAGTAAAGGTGAATTCAAGTGGAATCTTAAGTAGATCGTCTGGTCCAACACTTCTGGTTTCAAACTCCTTTTCCTCACACTAGAAAACACACATAACATTTACAATCTCAAATTTGTTCCTGACCTTTTATTTTTGATCCAACAATCTTAAGATAGAGCGTAGAATATTCCAAGCATATCCCTTTAGTTTGTCCTTTATTTTATTTTCAAGAGTAAATATCGTTTGTCTAATTCATGAAAATAAAATAAAATAAAGGATAACAAAAGGGATAGAACCTTGTAAATAGACCCTAAAATTCTTAAACTAACCTCTTCTCTTTTCCTGTTCTACACAAGTTTTGGACCCTTCACAGTCTATATTTTCACCATTTTGGTGCAAGTTTTACCTCTCTCCACTTTTATCTTGTGAGTATGATAGGATGAAAGTGGAGAGAGGTAAAACTTGCACCAAAATGGTGCGACCTAGACTGTGAAGGGTTCAAAACTTTTGTGTAGAATGGGAGAGTTGTAATTTAAGAATTTTAGAGTCTATAGGTTCTAGAAAACTGAATTTAAAAGTGTTAGTCAGATCAACTTAGATTCGGCCAACGGTATTAATTCATGAAATAACTAAAAGGATATGTTTGGAATATTCTAGTTGGGTTAAAGGTGTAGAGTGTGTTTGTTGTGTAAGTGTGACCGTTGGATCAATAACTAAGTAATGCATTAAAAACCTGTAATATTAATATTCTTTTATGGTCTTAGATTGATCTCCACGCTTTGGTGGATCAGCAATCTCTGTTTTTGGGAGCCTGCCAAAGTCCCTCTGAGATAGAATATGTGCTCCCCACTGTCCAGCTTTCTGTGAAAACATCTTTAGGGGAACCTATCAGCTGAAAATTTGTCTTCAGGCTGTTTTCCACACAAAGGAGGCCATCTGGTTTGTCGCCTAATCTACCAAATACACAGTAGTTGAATTTACTTATTCCTTCATCCACTGTTTCCAAGTTTTTGTACCCAGGGTAAAGTTAGCCGTAAATGTATAGTAAGCTTGCTATGAAGAAAATTGGCTGTACAAAATGGATGTCAAGCTTTTTTGAACTTAAAGTTGGCCATCTGGTTTGAGGCATTAATCTACCAATTTGCACACTAGTTGAATCCGCTTTCCTCCACTGCTTTCAAGTTTTCAACTTCTGGGTGCAGTAGCTTGTAAAACCTTTTGTTAACCTGCTTGGGGAAAAGAATTAAAGAACCTTTTCAAAAGAGTCTTGGCAAAGTTAGATACTCTATTTGCTTGGAGAATTGGTATTAAAGTTTTTTAGTTGCATACAAGTTTAAATTCATGAAATTGACTCTAGTGCTGAACTCAAACGGGTTTATTTCCTGCTTGTTCCTTTCTAATGTTGAAAGGAGGTGAAGAAACTAGAAACTGATTTAAATGCATATGCAATTTTTGGTGAGAAAATAATTTAAACCAAGAGGATGATGCTTAGCAAGAGAGACTATCTGCAGGTGTTTGGCAGATATTTAAAAGTATTTTTTGTTTGTAGATATTTGGACAGCAAAACACCTTTTGCAAAAGCTCAATTTGGGTGCTCCTGAAACTACTTCTAGGCCTAAAATTTACGCTCTATCTCGATGGTTTCAATAGTTTAAAACAAATGAGATTAATTTTCTAAAGTAGTTGATATAAGTATTATGGGAAATTTCCTCACCAAACCCCAAATGACGTGTCTGAAATTTTCAGAAGCAACACTACAGCAAAACACATTTTAGCTAGTTAAGGCATGATTTTGTGCTGTTTAAGTTGGGAGGATACATTATAAACTTCTGTTCATTCTAATGTTAGCTCAAAGTACTTGCTATTAGATATTACCACTAACAAGCCTATACCAGCACGATGAGGATTAAAATCTTGAATGTTCCATTTTCATATAGTTTGGCTTAGACCCGCTTACTGCTGTATGATGTTTACCTGATACAACTAAATGTTCCATTCACCTGTAGGATCCTTGCATCTTTTGCATTTTCTCTGCTCCCCCNTAATCTCATTGCACAAGGATGTAAATGTAAATGCAAATGAATGTTACTGACAAATATCTATGTTGGTTATCCAGTGCAACATCTAACAGCATACTGGATCGCGCTATTGATTCTGAAGAAGCTCAACATAAAGACTTTCTCAGGCTGGTAGGGACATATTCAGAACAGTTTTGCTTTTATTGTTAAATCTGGAAATCTTACAGATTTTGGGTCCCAATATGCATGATGTTGTAGGAGCATGTTGAAGGATATCACGAGCTCTCTGCCAAAACTAAGATTTTCTTTTCTACCGCTGTTGCAAGATGGGATGCCGACTTCTATGTCAAGGTTGATGATGACGTCCATGTCAATTTGGGTATGCACTTGATATGTTTTCTATATATTTTTATAGTTCGAAAGCTAATCATCTTTGTTCACCTTGTATTTAAATGGATGAATAATTTTACAGGAATGCTAGCTGCAACTCTAGCCCGTCATCGGTCGAAACCCAGAATTTATATTGGGTGTATGAAATCTGGACCTGTTCTTGCTCAAAAGTATGTATGAAGCTTCACTAGCTTATGCCAATTGACCCTTTCAGCTCGTATTTTAGTTTCAACTGTAGTAACATTTTAGTTGCGTGAACTGAACTTTAATGTTGGTTTCTAGGACTGTAAAGTACCACGAGCCAGAGTACTGGAAATTTGGAGAAGAAGGAAACAAATACTTCCGACATGCAACTGGTCAGATCTATGCCATCTCCAAGGACTTGGCCACATACATATCAATCAATCAGTAAGTTCTGATAAAGCTTGAATTTGTAATTGTCCATTGAAGTCACTGAAGTCCTAATGAATGGTAAAAGACTTGAATTTCTTGAAATGTCCATGTAAATTAGCACGTATACTGGATTATTAATGCTAAAATTTATCCGTCTCGTCTCCATCATACTAAATTCTCCTATATTCAATCAAAAGTATCACTACATATAGCCAACCCCAACGTGTCTAGAATTAGGCATTAGTTGTTGTATCAGTATCATATTTTGTGAGATTATCAGTAAGTATAAAGGGTTTAAACTTTTAAATCAGGCCCATATTGCACAAGTATGCCAATGAAGACGTGTCATTAGGGGCTTGGTTTATCGGTCTTGAAGTTGAGCACATCGATGAACGCACTATGTGCTGTGGAACTCCACCAGGTATTTTCTCTTTAGTACTGTTATCACATTTATTGCTGGAGCAAGATTTCTTTCAAATTTTATGGCCTTGACAAGTGTGGAATACAAAAAGAAGTTCTGGAGTAGCTTGTTTAGTGCACATTCAGAATGTTTTCTAGTAAGATATAGCATAAACTGGTTTTCTCAGTAAGATTTTCTTTTAAGTGAAAGACTTTCCCGATAATGATTATTTTATCAGTTGCCATTCCTTCATTCCATGCCTAAAATTTTAATTTATGTAGACTGCTTGATGTTCTTCATCTTCGAATATTTTTTATAAAATGTAGTTCTAAGTTTTGTTGGCTATAGCCAGGCATTCTAGTTGAGGGTGTAATACAAATTAGAAAAGGAGGCAATTTATATTGTTTAGCTTGAGGACTAAAGCTAAAGCATCAGATTCATAGTTTTTTTTTTTTTTTTTTTTTTTTTTTTTTTTTTTT